AACCGATACAGAACTGCTGTAGGATATATGATGGAACTTATTGTTCCTATGTTGTTTTAAGTTATGTGTCTGTTTCTATTGATGTGTTTATGTGTATAAAATAAAAAAAATATATTAAAAAAGAGGCAACCCTCCCAAAAAAAAAAGAATTATGGTTTTGCTATCTCTTGGAAGCCAGACAATTGGGTTAAGTAAACCGCAGTTCAATTAGCTGTGAATAATTGTTGTGTCAGCCAAGCCCTCGAGTCTGTCTTACTAAAAAGAACAGGGGGGACAGAGAATTGTTGGAGAACAGTATCTGCAGATGGAATTGAAGAGAGAGATTTTCTGTCCCAGCATTCAAGTCAAATTCAAATTGGGAACGAGACTCTTTATCTTTTCCACATAAAGAGGCTGTCTTCCATTTTGAGACTAGACTTGGTCTAGTTTTTGTTTTGCTTTTCTCATTATGAGAAAAAGGTTGCAATGTTTACTGTGGTGAGATCCAGAAGGAAGTCGCTTTCATGCAGAAGCAGCTTGTAAACCTTTATACCATGGCTGTATGTCAGTGTCTTCAATATACAACCATTCTCTGTTGATGTTCTCTTGTGTATCTTACCTTGTACCCGTATGGCCTTGTGAACTTAAAACATGCTAGGTTTGCTGCTGATCACTGTGTCATCACAGTATCTCAGCTGAGACCTTTCCAACTTTCCCATTCTGTTTGCCTGTCTTGCTAGGGGAACTACGTCACATAAAGAACCTGAAGCACTGGGGATTATACGAGGTCTTGGTGGAGAAATACGAGTGGCCTCTCGAACAAGCGGCCCAGTTCACGGACTTCCTGTTGCCCATGATGGAATACATCCCAGAGGACCGTGCTACAGCTGCCCAGTGCCTCGAGCATCCATGGCTAAACTCTTAGGGACAAACCTTGCTAAAACAAACTGATAAGAGGAAATAAGGGAATTCTGGCCCACGTGGCGTTTCCAGGCTCGTTGGTGTTAGCCCGCTTTCCTGGAGTGATGGATGTGGAGAAGAATGCTTACTCCTCTTAGTTCCACGATTGGAGACTCTGGCTGATCAAGCTGGAGTTCGTATGGCTGGACTGGAATCCCACAAATCAATTTATGGCTACTTCTGAAGCACAAATGAAAGATGACCAGGATTTCTTGCCCTTTTTTTCTTTTGTTAGCATATGCCTTCTTGGTTGACAGTGGCCATCTTCTCTAGGTGCCATTGGAATAATGCTGTTTGACTGCTTTTTAACCAGTTCTGAGATATTTTGCAGGTGTTTTTTTTTTCTCTCCCTCTCTCTCCCTTTCAAGGTATAATGTTTAAAGGTTCCCACCCTTAAAAACCAAACGAGTGTGACAGAAAAGTAATTTGAGAGGAATGGGTACGTGTAAGGTGGATGGTGAGTTTGGATGTACCTGAGTGTTGGAGCAAGAAGCTGGAAAGAGCTGCCAACTTTTTGTTGTTGTTGGAAGAAAATATACCCCCCCTCCCCTGCCTAAACTTCTATTTTAACTCCAGGAAAATGTGGCCTTTTTTTTGAGCAACAACTTATACAGGTGAATGAAATTTTGTAGAGTTACATGATATTGATGTAGAAATTTAACAGTGGAAGCATGTGGCGGTATGAGAAGACTTAATGGCAAAAGAAATGGAACTACATAAATAGCAAAGTGGGAGAGGAAGGATTCTTATTCCAGTGGGTTCTGAACACTTCGATAAAGATTTCTGGCATTTTCTGGGAAGATTCTCTAAAGTTGCGATTAGCAGCTGAATAAACAGAAGGATGTCATAGTATCCCTCCTTCAATGAGCATTTACGGCCCCTTTCCATATTATTAGACTATAGCCCCCAATATGCATGCTTTTCACTAATCAGGGGTTGCCTATCTGCTCATCATTTGATATCTTGAGAAACCCAAAAAACAGTTGTGATTGGGAATTTTTTTTTGAAAGGGATGTAGTAAGAATTTTTTTAGCAGCCTGGTTTTTCTAATATGCCTTGTGATGTCCAATGTTGTTTTTACTTCTATGCTGTTTCATTTCCTTTAGCCCATTTTTTTTTGTATCCAACTTTTGAGACGGTTAGGAATAGAGAATAATCCCCGTTATCATTTGCAGGATTTGGGGGGGGGGGGAATCAAGCTAGCTGTATGTGTGCGGTTAGTGTGTTTTCTTGGCAGATGTTTGGGGTTGTTCACGTTGTTGTCCATCTTGGGCTGCTGTCACAACTCCTATTCTGATTTTCAATACATGCTACTTGCGATCAGCATTTTTTTTTCTTCTTCAAAGAACGGCTGCTCATAAAAAAGCTTTGAGCCAGATGAGCAAAATGATTGAAGCTACTTTGTGCCTTTACAATGGATTCTACCTATTGTTTGCTGGATGCACTGAATAGGGAAGGGAAGAAAAGTGGGAGCTGTTACATATAAAGTCTCCCCCTCCCCTCTTCCACTTCCAAATGTCCTGGGAAAGGAATGCAAAAGAAATAAAAGACCTGGAGCCAGGAGTAAAGCCAACATCTTTTCCTTTTCCTAGAGATACTCTTTTGGAGCTAAGCTGGGCTGGAGTTCCCGTTTCTGTGGAAACTGGATTCATCTCCCTTGAATCTGGAGTCTCTGGTGTGAAGCTGGGACTAAAAGATGTGGTTCTGATTCCCTTGAACACTCCAGTCTCAACCTGGGGCAGTGGGTGGGCAACATCTGGGTGAAAATATTGTTTACCAAAGTTGTGTTGCCCCAGAACCAAACCCAATGAAAGCGAGACAACTGTTTTCTTGCACTGTTATCTCCCTAATGAGAAGCCATGGCCTTGATTTAGAGGTGCCCCATGTGTGCCAGTGTTGGGGGGTGGGGGGAGGGAAAGTACGGGTGTTTTGAATGCTGTGCTGTTACAGGGATTGAATTAAAAAAAAACTTTTTTTCATTAAAATATTTGCAATAACTTTTGAGTCTTCCTTTCTTGTGGACAATCTGTAACAGGGATGGGAACAGAAATGGGCCACTTTGCACAGAAGTTGAAGCTAGCAGTTTTGACAATACTTCCAAACTGGTTCCTGCTCAACTACCCCAAATCTATTTTAAAAATCCATGCTTTCTGCAGCAGGAATATTACTTTTCTTTTAAATGAGAACAGCTCATTGCGTCAAAATTGAAACAGGAAGACTCAGAGTACCATGGCTCCTTTGAAACTCCATTCTGCCAACAGCGCAATAACAATAGCAATAGCAGTTAGACTTACATACCACTTCATAGGGCTTTCAGCCCTCTCTAAGCGGTTTACAGAGTCAGCATATCGCCCCCACAGTCTGGGTCCTCATTTCACCCACCTGGGAAGGAT